GGGAGACGATAGATAAATCTTAGCGAATTCTGTCAGGCTTGGATACTGTTTTGCGTTTGCTGACCACCACTTGTAAAGGTCTGCCGTCTGATCTAGGCGAACAGTTTTCATATAAAGTGATACAGTGATATTTTTTAGTAATAATTAGTAACGCAATTTGATGTAACAATGCATGTTGTGACATGATCTACTCGCAAATAAAACAAATGTGCCCGCAGTGTCGCCACCGCACCCACCGTAATGTATCAGGTCGTAACATATCACCCGCGAAATGTACACATATTTTGCCGAACATTCGGCCGCCGAATATTCGGCGCTTCGGCCAAGAGCATAGCCGAATATTCGGTATTCGGCAAAATCACTATTCGTGGCATCACTATACTATACATTTAATAACGATCATGGATTATCATCACTATCACGAACAATTAGGTCTTAGGACTCGTTCCTATATAATTAGGAATACATAAGAAGGATACATTTGCTTACAAAAACTTCTAAATAATATACAGCAAGTCGTTCATAGGTTCTGGGAAACTGCCACGTTAAGCAAAACGACATAACAAAACCAGATTTATCATAGAATAATAGATAGGAGCAGTTATTTATTGTGACATCGGTACAATGCCGTGCTGCAATTTTTAATCATATATTTTAAATTTATTAAACTACAAATTTGAGATGGAGAGTGTATTTTTAGTGTCTTGCCCCTGTACATTATTGTTAACAACAAAGTCATGCTGTCATCTATGTAACTTCATTGGAGAGAAAATTTTTGAATTGAATTCATGTGATTTCCGGTCTGGACCGGAAGTTGGTATATAGTTAATCGGGGCTTCCTGCCCCTAAGCTTTCCATATTTAGTCTTGACTTTCGTCTATCTAACATCGTTCTCGAGATTAAGGAAAGGACAGACAACGACAGTGGGATTTAATAGGTCTAAAATATTTTTCAAATTGCAGCCCAATAAACAAGGTATAATTCGGTTATTAGTATTCTAATCGGAATGTATTTACAACCTCCAGCGTTTATTTCCCACCTCGTAAAATCAGTTTTATTGTTTATAAAGAAAATTCAAAATAATAATAGTAAATGAGGAGAAAAGAACAGTACTTGTATTATTGCCTGGGTGAGCGCAGTAAGCGAGCTCAGGCTTCTGAGGTGAATTGTGGTTTCGTTTCGGAATTTTAAAAAAATTCCCACGTTAGATTCTGATGATTTTGGTATCAAAATGCTCGGTGAAATCCTGGCACGTGTATAAAATAATTTCTGGAAAATATAATCAAAAAACGAAATCGACTTTTGCCTCATTGACGCTTAATAACAAAAAAGTATTTCGACATTTTTGGGTGCTGTGTTTGGAATATAAAGCCAGACAGCTGCTTCGTATTTTTGCCGAGTTTGGTGAATTTATGTTGAACTGTACTGTATGTATGGAGCACCATTTTGTTCACTCTCTTTGAAGCTTATTAAGTTCAGTTTCTTTTCTCGAAAATTTCTGAAATTTTGCAGGGAAGTTTGCGTATTATGAGCATTGATGCCGTTAAATTTTGGTGGTTAAAGATCGAATGGGGTCGGAGTTAATGACGATTTTACTCGTTATTAACATTTAGAATTCTTTTTATAAAAGTCATCTCTACTCTCAAAATAATTAATAATGAAATTTTTTGAATTGCAAGATAACGGTCGTGTTCTATTTTCTCACGTGTCGTCTTTTTTCCCTTGCTAGGACCAGAACCATCTTTATTCAAATCTAAACACAATTGTCTTCGCCTGCACTATTTAGTCAACAGTCAGTCGGGATACTTCCACATGTTTCGCTCTACCAACACCAGATTCTTCAACAACATGGCGGTGCCCATCCGCAGCGAAGAAGAAGCCGCAGGTCGGTGGAGAGACGGGTCTGAACCGCGTCCGGGAAGAGATTTCCGAGCGTTCGATAAACGTTTTTCGTTTTCTTTTTCAGAATCGTTAAAGGCCATATGCGAAGCGTTCAAAGTGGCTCTGGGCGTCAAATCCCTCAACGTTCCGTTCTTCGAGGGAAAGTTGGAAAGAAGGAAGAGCAAGATGCCGTTCGCCCAGGGCGGACTCAACTGCTCCAACAGTTACCGCGGCTCCAACAAGCACGCGCAGGGTCTGGTGCCCTTCCATCTGGAACTGCCGTCGTTCTCCGCCATGCCCCGAAACATCTCCGAGGGTCAGCTCAACGCCCTGAAGTCGGTGGGCACCCGGGCCCTCAACAACATGACTTCCCACTTTGCCAAACTCAACCCCATTCGTTCGGTCCGAGGATTGGGAAAGAGGACCAACGGCCTGACCACCGGACCATCCCTGGCCGCGGTCATGGAACCCACCGGATCACTGGTACGGTTTGCATGCGATTAGACTCTCTATAAAATCCGTTTTCCAATATTATATTTATTTTAACAGAGTTAAATTATTCTTGTAAATTTCCTTAAATTAAAATGAGCGAAAGTAATTGAGTTTTAGAGAAAACGGTCTTTGAAATGTATTGTTTGGTCAGTGGTCGAACAATGCATTAAGTAATTTTTTTAAATAGTATTTTTTAATGAAATTTTTTAGCCCATTTAAATTTTTAAGTGCAGAAGCCCGTCTTAGAAAATATATCCCTCTGTTTACAGTTGTATATCGTCTAGGCATACCTGTCGGAAGTAGCGCAGACAAAATAATGATAAAAAATTTTGATAAGTGGTAGTGCAGTCTCTATATTCTGTTACAGCAGCGTCCCCTCTTCCACGTGGAGAGTTCTTCGGACTCGGAAGACGATTCAATTCGAAGAAGAAAAAAACAGGGAAGCTCTACGTTCGTTTCTTACATCAACGACAGGACTTTGAGCTCGGATTATTCGGAATGCAGTGATCTGGACGAACCCGACTTGACCGTTTCCGAAAGTTTGGAGAGGGACGAAGAAAGTGGTTCTCAGGACACCCTGCTGGAGAGCTGTGGCATTCTGGCCACCAGCCCCAGTCTGAAATCCAGCAGCAGTATTTTGAGTGGTCTGGCTCTAGTGGACGATCGACATTCCGCATTGGACAACCGTCACTCGGAAGTGGACGTCGACGATTTCGTCTTGGATGCCATGAAGAAAGCCACTTTAAGGCAGCTAAGAAGGAAGACGTCGGAGGAAGCGTCCTTTCTGGCGGCGGAAGACGACGAGCGCTCCCACCCTTCCATGCCGGAAATCCACGTCAGTTCGGAAATGATTCCGTCACACAGCCGATCCGGCGAAGATATATCCATGTCGCTGGTCAGATCGGGACCCAACAGGAAACTCTCCAAGTCGTCCGAGGATCTGGATTCCGGCAAGTCGTCGGTCATTCCTTCCTCTTCGCACGAGGTCACCCACCTTCTGGTGCAGGAGGAAATGATTCTCGACACCGAGGGTATGTCTTCTAAGATGAAAACGTCGCACAGCGAAAGCGCTATCCAGGACTTTTCTCTTCCGTCGCTGAATTTACCCAATCCTCTCTCTTCTCCCATCATCATCAAGAAGGATCTAGTGTTATCTCCGTTGTCTCGTATCGCTAAAGGCGTCCAGAGCCTGGGCATGAACTTCAGACCCAACGTCAAGTTGCAACGTTCGCCCGAAACGGAAGAACACATACAGATGAGGGAAAAAAGGAAACAGTGTAAAAGTCATATTATCGAACTCTAAAACAAATCCTTTTTTCTTTCTCTAGTTTGAACACAAACTATATACTACATAATATACACACACACAATAATTACTCAAAAAACCAACAAAAACTTCAGTATTCTTAGTTTATGTAAATGTGTAGCATATACCAAAGATGTATATATAGTTTTATAACGGGGAAGACGTTTGTTTTTCGTCTATTGCCATTTCATAAATACACAATTTTATTTGCTTTGTAACGCATTAAAAAGTCACGGCAGCAGCAGCCCCCCGGGGAGACCGGAAACGATTCACTTTGGGTGACGGACGGGCCCGAGTGAAATTTTATTGTGTTCAAATTAGTTTAAGAAGTGTAAATGTTTATATATAAAGTATACATAAATATATATATATATATATATACATATAATTTGGTAAGATAGTCACGTGAATTTGACGTATATGTACATGTGTTGTGATATATTTGTATTGGTATATGTGACGTGAAAGATGATTATTTATATTTATTCGTATCCGCTTGGGGAAGAGAAAAGTAAAAAAATATATTCTACATTTTAGATAACACTTGTTATATACATAAATACTATCTATATACAATATGTATAATGCCGATATAATATATAAAAAAACGTATATATTATGTATATATATACTCGCACATACACTACGTATACTTTGTTAACACGTTTCAAATGTTCCTTTAACTCTGTTACCGGAGGAAACGTCTACTTAAAAGTAATTCTCACTGCTGTGATAGTAACCTCACAACATAATGTTCTTGTTCGAGGCGCACTGTTTTTTTTGGTTGCTGTATTTTTGCCTGTTTGACTGCATTTAAGGATACGCTCACTTCAGCAAAGGTTTCCGAAAATATATATATAAATGTATATTAAATCAGCACGGGACGAATAACTTACATACAATCATTCAGAAAGTCAGCTAAAAATTCTAATTATATATAAAAAAAAGTAGTGCGATATCGAACGTACGTACATTCCACGATTATGCTCAACGGAAGCATAAGAATATCAAAGTGTTTGCATTGGAACATTTCGAGTGTAATGTTCCCGAAAAATAAAAGTTATACCTTCCATCTTTTCTGCCAGTTGTGGGTTTTTTTATTGTTAATGTTAAAAAAATGCAAATGGTTGCATTTTATTAAGGAAAGTCTTCGTTTCTTTACCAACTTTCCTCGTTAAAATTTATTTTAAAACACCCGAACCCAGAAACCATTTAATTTCCTGCGCAATTGGGAACAGTCAATTACTATTGCCAACGTTTATGTTAATTTTGCCACTCGTCCGATTATTTTATCGGATTTGTGCGTTAGTAGTTCGCGTAATACGTATATATTATTTATTATATATTATTAAATGTATGATATATAACATATACGTATTACGTATATATTATATATTTATGAAATGATCAATCCGAGACCCACCGGTGTCGAATAAATAAAAACCCGAACACTGGTAAGTTGGGGCCGACTAATCGACTGGCGCGTGGAGTTTTTCGGGTTTTTTCTCCAGTCTTAACTAAAGCTGGCGATTGGCCCCTATTTTAGATACACGAGTGTAGGTACCTCGAAACGACGATACATCAGCGAATGCACTAGGTCTGGTGTAGACTGGCGATTACGTTACGCAAGTTTCGCTCGCATAGTGTAAACAGCTCCACGAGGACGAGGACGTGCGAGCAAAACTCGAGTAACGTAATCGCGGCTTTAGGTAAAATAGTGTTCGTTATCTCCTCGGCAGACGATAACGAGGACCGTTTCACGCAACTCGGCGTTTAGCTAATTAGAAATGTTTAATGGGCGCGAATTTATCAATTTACTAGTGTCGATGATAATTTGCGTACGATACGAAGCCATCGTTCGAGTTACTAAAGGTTTAAAATCGTAATGCGTATAAAATAAGAATAAACCGAAAACTGGATATTTTGGTGGTGGCGCCCGTTACGAAGTTCGGTCGAGTGGAGACAGTTAAACGCGACTCCCCCCATCCTTAATGCCCATTAAACAATGCGAATCGGAACCGAAATCGCTAATTTTTACCAGCCAGAATCCGGTTAGAAGATGCGAACGCGATCCGTTACCTCTACCGAATAATCATTCGAGTTCGAACCTTAAAGCTCGGTGGGGTGCAGGCGAATTTGAATTAGGAGCCCCGAGGATAACGCGCCGTCCAATCTCCTCCGGTCGGCAATATGAAATGACCACTACGATTAAAGTTACTTATTACTTGTGGAATTTTTTTGTTCTAGCAAGAAAGATGCAGAAAAATAAAAATTCCCAAAGAACTATAATTATTAAAAATAAATATGGATATAAAATTTATATGCGGAATATAGGATTTTAAAAATACAGATGGAAAAAAAAATATTTGCATCGCTAACGCGTTTTACTAGTAAATATAATAGAAAAATTATTTACAGTTGCCAGAGATTAGTGAAAAGTTTCAGAAAGTCGCATCTTTTATCAATTATATAATTTTATTGGCAGAGAATTAAAAAACGCGATTAAACTTTAATGAAAAATTATTATACACGAAAATAAATTGATTAAAATATTTTTTTTTAAATGTGGTCGACGTTAATACCTAGAAATTAAAAAAGGCAAGATTTTTAAATAACAATTTCGAATTTAATTAATTAAGTATAGGAATTAACTTCAAATTTTATTACAAGTTTTAAAAAAGTGTCTCCGTTACGCACAAACGAAAATATAATTAATTTCTAAGATTTCTGTCACTAATTTATTTAGGATTAATGGTAATTAACAACAGTTCGGTAAGCAATCGGGACGAGTTTTGATTCTTTCCGTAGTAATGAATTGAATCTATTCATTCCGGTATCGTAAGTAAACCAAGTATTGTTTTCGTGCGGTGTTACGCGCGATGGCCACGTACTGCGTCTCCGTAATTTGAAAAAGAAAAAAAACTTGTTCGGAAAATAACGAATTTTTACTCTAAAATTCGCTTCGTTTGGAACCGAGTTTGGATTAATCAAACTCTGAGAACGAAATGCGTAGAACACGCAGAAATACGATTACATTACAACGTAAATAGAAATCGACTGAAAAATTGAAGAATGGATAGTACGAGGAAGACTCTTAGAGAAAAATAAATAGAATGCGTGTAGGAAAAGAAAATTATCACGCGCTCTCTTCCCCCCTTAGAACGTCCTCTTTTTGTCCCGATGGATATTTTATTAAATGCGCGATTTGAAGCGCGAGTTTTTTTTGTTCTATTTTATATTTAAAAAAAAAGACAGTAAAAGTTCTTCGGATCGAATATTCAAATTATGTAACATTTTTGCGCTTTCTTACGGTAATTAATAATTAAAAGGAGAAGCGCGCATTGTCTTTAAAAGTACGACGGAGAGTTAAACGAAAACGGCGTGAAAATATAAAGGTAAACAAAATTTCTAAATTAGAAATTTGCGAGAAAATGTGGCGGCCTCCTCGTATTGTTACCACGAAACTGTTTTAAAAATTGTTAGAGGTGACTCTAACAATTTTTGATATTTTTGTAATTAAACATAAAAAATACTTAAAACTGAAAAGAAACGAAAGAAATGCGTTAATTTTGAAGAAAAAGCTTCAAATTTTATTTTCCTTTGTCTCGCCTTTCTGCGAAATCTGACGCCGATGAGTGGTTTGTTTACACAGCTGGATGACCTTGAACACAGCTAGAGTCGGATTTCCCGGGACATTCTAAGAAGTCTCGGGAGACGATGGGTTTATAGTAGGGTGAATACTAGCTGGCCGTATATTTTTAAATATTTTTAAAAAATTAAAAATTTTATTGCGATTTCCGACCCCCCTAATTAATTAAATTTATATATAATAAAATATATTAATTGAAAAAATTAAAAAACTATCGGAGGTCGTTTTTGACATCAGAAACTAGCTTTAAATAACTTTAAGGAAAGAAAATCCGTGCGCTAGAACTTTAGAACGATGAATTAATTTGATAAAAAATCCCATTAAAAAACAATTAAGCCTTAATCGAGCCTTATCAAAGGCTCATTAAAATCGCGATAAATTTTTTT